TATTACAGCAATGAAAACTAACACAGATGAGGTTCTTCCACGTTACAAGGGCAGCACCTTCTCCTAGATAATAAAAGTTATCCTATCTATGATGGAGACATTATTATAGGAAATGACACTTTTATTTACCAGGGGTAACCACACTTCTATCTTCAAGGTAAACATGACCCCAGTTCTATTTACTGCCAATTATTCACCATTCATTGCAAAGGGGATTAACTAAATTGAAAGACAGAAGAAAGGAAGGGAGGAAAAGAAGGAAAGATGAAAAGAAAAGGGGAAAGAAAAGAAGAAATTTTTTTTTTTAAATCATCAATGGACTTCTAGTGATAAGAAATTTGAGGATGTACTAATTTCTCATATATCTGAATCCCAGTAATGTCTTCAAACTGTCCGAAGTAACAGAAAGGAACTGGGAGACCAAAGCAGGCCTGGTGTCATGGAAAGCTCCTGAAAACATGAGCCTCACTTGGCCTCTCAGTTCCTGTCCTTCCTACTGTCCCTATGATCAGAAGACTAAGAAATTTCAATAGTTCAGAATCAGAGATTTTTTTTATTTTCAAAATTTCAACTATGAGTGAATGTAGTCTGTATGGGTGCGCATTGGACAGAAAGAAATTCATAATGTTCACTGATCTTTTCAGATTCAGATTCTGAGAATGCAAACAACACTATAGTCTTTGATAAGAGACTTAGTAACAACAAGAAGCAGTGAGATGCCTCAACAGTCTGCAGTCAGTTCTCCCCTTCCCTCTTAAACACAGCTACGAGATGCTGTCACTTTTCATCAGTTCTCCATATGCTCAATGAAGGCAGCCAAAAGATAAGCACTCCTGACCTGCATAAAAAGAGTAGAGTGCTGCATCTGGTTGCTTCTGGCAGCTCTCCTTAGTGTTTTCACAGTTCTGGCATGGCGGGTCCAAAAATGGAGATGAAATCCAGGGTCTGGATCAGGGCAGCTCCCCAGGCTCCCTGCAGGACTCCAACTCTGTGCAGGGACAAGATTGAGGCCGCTGCCAAACACAGGCGCCTGGGTCTCACACAGAGGTCTATATTTTAGTGAGAAACTGTATAGTTCTTAAGTTTTCAGCTCCCATGGGCTACTGATCGCTGTCACACTTGTTTACTGACACATATCCTTCCTCCCTTTAAAAGGCTCTCAGAAAAGGGTGACAAGAGTCCTTGGGAGGCTACTTCTGGATGTATTCTAATGTTATGTGTCATTCATTGAACATTCGCTCTCTACTGGATACAGGTGTACATTTTCCACTTAATTTTTACACCATGTAAAAGCAGACATCAATCCCATTTTATAGATTAGAAAACTCAGGCTTAAAAAGGACAAGTCATTTTCCCAGGGTCATACTTCTGGTAAGAATCCTGGGATCTATCCTTCCCAAAGTCCTGCTTCTAACCATACTCTGGACTGGGAGGAGGAGCAGCTCCCCTGGTCTGCAGGAGCACTTGTCTACAGGAGCATTAATTCACAGTCAAAAGCCTGCCCATAGCTAGTGACATGATGTTAAGTGATCACGGAACCTCTCTAAGCCTCTTACTTCATCTTCCATGTGGGAATAATAATTTCTACCCTGCCTTTCTCCAGGAGTTTGAGACAGCATCAACTGTTGTTAAATTCCAATAAGTTCATTTGTCCTGGACAAACTTCCTTGTCCATCTTTTCAAGGTTAGAAATGAGATTCAACCTAAGAGCAGAGGTGCAGAAGGAGGTCTAAAGCTAAAATTAAGTGTTATATTGATTTTCATATTTTTAATTGTCTTTGTGTACCTGGGGAAACAGATTTGAATGTTTGATGATGAATTTTATTAACATTAAAAACTATGAAGACATGAAATTAAGCAATTGAAATCGGGGACCATGAGTAAGTACTTAGCAAACAACTAAGCAGAAGCCAAAAGAAAGGTAGACAGGAAATAGACAATACAGGGATTTTCTCTGGCTCTCATTTAATAATTACCCAGTTGGTATTTCACTTCTTGTGCATGTGGTTAATTGGTTCTTTGAGTCTCCAGCAAATTAATTTTTCCAGATATTTAATTTCATTCTCAGTGAATAAAGAACTGAAAAACAGTAACAATGCTTATGACAAAGCAATGAAATGGACTGACAAATAATCTTAGAAAAACCACAATATTTTGTAGTTTGAATAGGCCTATGATTTTTCTCAACTGAAGCACCATACTAGGGTGGGTCCCCTATTTTCTTGAAAACCCAAACTGCCTGGCTGAAGAAACCCCACGGAGAGCAAACATACACATGCATGCACAGACTCCCACAGGGCTGTCAGAAAAATGATGATACAAATAGTAGCTAATAAACTCCCAGTGTGCATGTTTATTCCTACAGCCATCAGTTAACACAGCACCAACTCAGAAGAGGATCCATAACAACCTGCAAGTGAGGACTTTGGGAAACTCTTGAAAAAATCATAGAGAACACGAGATGAAAATGAATTTATGATGGTTTGGTTAGAAGCTATGTTTGAACAAAGAAAATAAAAGATAGTGAGTAAGAGGGTATGTGTGTTCCTAGCCACACAGTGAAGATTTATGTATATGTAAAAAATGAAACGCTCATCATCCCACATGAAACATGTTCGTGGCTGAAGCTTGGCAACACGATCACAAAATCAGACAATTGTCTCCACTCACAATCACTAGGAAGAGCAAAATTGCCAATATGGATCCATTCAAAACTTTTTTTTAACATTAAAGATACAGTGAATACTTGGCCACTAGAAAGTCACCTGTAACTAAACCTACCCATGTGTATGTTAAACATACAGACTCATTATTCCAGGGTCTGTGTTTATTCTGTTGCAAAATACAAATATCAAGAATCTCTGTGCCTCTTCCACCTGTTTCCACCGGTCTGTAGGGACAAGAGGCTGGCTCTGGATGGGGACTACTAAAACAGCAGCAGCATGTGTACAGCACACCTCCTTGTCACTCTGCATGCCTGCTCACACCCTTCCACTCCAGCCCACAGGTCCCCAACAGACTCCACTAACTAATCCCAAATGTGCATGAAAGTTAACCTAGGAGACACTTGGAAAATCCACGCACAGTCAGAAATGGCAGAGAGGGCTATGAGACAAAACTAGAGGAAAGAGGTAACTTACATCTGAGATCTCCTTTCTCCCCTATTCCAACTCAGTCCTGTTAAGTGTTCATTATAGCAGTGTTCAGATACAAAATGTTTGCCCAAGAGAATTAGAGGACTCTGGCTGAAAAGTATTACATTGTCAAGAAATCATTCATTTCCCGTTGAGACAGTATTTCCAAGAGAAGCCAGGCACAGCATCAGAGACCACTAATACATTTCAGTATTAGTTTATTTACAAAAGTAAACAAACACGAAAGTTTTTAATTAGCCCTACCAAGCAGAAGCATGTCATGTTGCCCCCAATAATGAAAATATAGGAATCTCAAATAAGTGTTCTCTATAAACATTATGTTTTTTAAATATGGAAAAAAACTACTACAACTTTCTTCAAGCACAAGATATTGGGGGGTTTTATAAGAAGCTGCATTCCAGATGTTGGACTCTTATCAGATCAATGGAAATTGATCTGGAATATGGTTAAACTGCTTTACCCAATAGCTACAAATAAATAAGACCTTTCACTGGCTGGCAGGAAGATAGTTGCTACTGGCCAATTTGATTCTTCTAAAAATGATGAAGTTTTACATGTACTTTTTTTTCCAGATAAAATCCCTAAAGTCCCAAAGTATTGTTTCTAGAATTAGAAATTGCCCCTTACTGTTAACACTTTTCCTTTCTAGGCCAGTCTCCTTTCACCTGCTCTAGAATTGTTTATTCTGGACCACTTTTACCAAAACTTCAATGACAATAAAGAGTTTAGAAAACTCGTGGTAAATCAGACATCGTTAAGACAGAAGGAGAATGAAAATTTAAATTAACCATTTGGGGCACACTAGGTATCTCACACTTTTAAACCTAAAATAGCCAAGTTTCTTCGTTATTCTGAGACGTTATACAGAAGATTTAGCCAACTGAACCTAAGGTGCCCTACATCTTATCAGCAAGAAAAACAAAACAAAACAAAACAAAAAACAAAAAACAGAAAAGTCTGTTTATCCCTAACTTAGAAACCTACCGCAACCCTCCCTTCCCACAGAAGGGCTGCGCCTTGTGCAGCTTCCCCAACTCAATGGAGACAGCACCTGGGCTCAAGTCTGCCAGCCACCCAACGCTCAGTAGCAGCAAGGCCAAACACACATTACAAATGTCCCATTTCCCTCCCCTCTATTCGGGGACCCGGGTCCAGCATAGTGCTATTCCTCCACACTAAAAATCAAACAAATCTTTAAAGAAAGAGAGCAGGCTGGCATTACATAACAATATACAGCTGATAAGGCTTCCAGAAAACGAAAGTAGCCAGAGAAGAAGGGGGCGGGGGGGGTGGGCAACCAGAGCTTGGGGAGCTGGCCGCCACCT